CAACAAGCTACTTATGGTTGTAATAGTGATGCTGTAAGTTGTAATGCCTCTGAAGAAGGTTACAATATCGTGAATGCTAAGGTGATATACGTAAATCTGTGTGTTAACAGTACCTTCTTTCTTTTGCAAAACAAAAGCAGTACCTTGTTTTCTTATCTTTTACTTGATTAGTGGATTTAGCGTCCTTCAAAAAAGGAAAAAAGGAAAGGCGATTGATGTCTACATTGCAACAAAGCTACTTGTGGTTGTAATATTGATGTTGTAATTGTTGTAATAGTGATGCTGTAAATTGTAATGTCTCTCAAGAAGGTTACATTATCGTTAATGCTAAGGTGATATATGTAAATCTGTGTGTTAGCAGTACCTTGTTTGCTTATATTTTACTACTTTATTAGTGGATTTGCCGCCCTTCAAACAGAAACAAAGTAAACTGTCAGGTTTTATTTAAATATTTGCTGACGCCTGCCTGCACAACAAACTTTCAGGAAATGTAACCATATCGAGATTTATATGCTTACTCCTCATGGCCTTCAGGTCAGAGACATTTGCCTCCATGGAATATGTCAATTTCTTCTGTTGCATCATATGTGCTATTAAGAGTTACTATTTGGTGGCTATTTTTTTTCAAATAAATTACATTGACATGCTTTGATCTAATAATTTTCTTATTTGTGAACTACTTGAGATTCTGTAACTAAAAGATATTTTCTCTGGTTGCCAGCTTATGCTTGACGTACCTTTGTATGGAACAGTTGCAACACTTGAGCTCTACCGTTCTCGTGTGAGTTTATTTTCTGTTTCTCTGGTTGAAAGTTGCTTCTTATCTTAAGGAAGTATTTGTGTTTTATAATCTTAAGCTCGTCTCTTTTTCATTCCCAGAGTGAAACTCAAGATTTTCTTTTCATTGGTATGGAAAGATATAGATATTGTGTTCTTCAGTGGGATGGAAGAAAGTCAGAACTTCTTACAAGGTTTAGGCCTTCTTCATTCATCACATTCTGAACATAGAAAGCAATTATCAAAGTTGGTGCTTATCTTAAGTCCATTCATTTGTAGATTAGTGTAATATGTATATACTAGCATGCTATATTTCAGATCCTGGAGTTGTTGGTTAGGTATTCTAAGAAACTTATATAACAGGCATGACCTGAAGGTCAATCCAGCCGAACCACTCTCTTTAGCTTTTCATAGAACTCAACTGAAACTAGTTTAAAAATATATCCTTCCCCTAAGCCCCTAACCATACTTAGCTTAGCAGGAGTTATATATTTCACACCTTACAGATATATGGCATCCAAAGTTTCTTCTTAGTTTTCAGGACCTTCTGGTGAACCTGGGAAATGTTTTTCTATGTTAGTTGTTTGTCTTATGAAGTTGTCCATCTCGATATATGTTGCCACTTGCTGTTACAGCAATATCATCTTGCAAGTTGGTGAAATCTTTTTCTCAGTTTTCTGTCAATCAGGAACTAAACAGTTTGAATATGCAGATCTGAGGGAGATGCTTCTGAATTTTTGGGGCGCCCTACTGACAATGGACAGGTAATGTGATTCTCTCGACTTGTACATGTACAGAGATATGAGGTGTTTTACTAATCGGAAACATTATTTTCTATTACGAGTCCTGTACAGAATGTAGTTCTTGTTAACTAACTGGTTGAACACTTTTTGCTGAGAAACCCTAGTACAGTGATGTTCTCTGTGAAATAATCTCTAAGATACCCCTATTATGCCAGAATTCATGATTTAATTGTATTACTTAAAATGTGGATTGGAATTATTGATCATCACTATCGACTGATTGGTCTTCACCTATATGATGGCTTATTTAAGGTAAGTTATCTATACACTTTTTGTTTTGTTGAGTTTTTCAGTGTTGTTCCTCGAGGCTGTTCTATAGTTCAAGTCGCTGAAGAAACAAATTACTGTATCAAACTTTGATAAATGGAGAAATGTACCACCAGGATGTGTTCTTGGTAGTGTAGACTTGGTAGACCATAGACTGAAGTGCTTCGCCTGGCTTCAGATCCTAGCTCAAGGAAAGATAAAAGAAAAGCTACATTGTGAAAAAAGAAATAAATGAGTTTGTTGGCTGTTGCCAGGTTATACAAGCATTGAACATCAGGTACTGTAGTTGTACATAGTTACCAATTCACTTACAGTTAGAAATGGATAGATCATATACATTACCTGGAATGTGGATGAAGTAGTGAACTGTCATATGATTCTATGACAGTACGACCACCACTCATCATGTTATGCTACCAAACGAAACTAACACATTCTTTTTATACCATCCAATTCGAGCAACCCAACCAGCTCCTATAAAACTGTTTTTCTTAGACGGGCCACATCATGTATATATTACCTTCCTGTTTCGTTTTTACTCCGGAAAGTTGGTATGCTATAGGCTATAGTATGATAGGTATTTTGAAATGATTGATTAAGGATTGCTGGATCACTGTGCCACCATGCCAGTTTATGGCATTAGTACCTTATAGAAGAGTTAGCCTTTTTCGGTTTTATGTTTCTTTAAGGTTATGATGATTTTTTAAGTTTAGTAGAGAATTGTTAAAACTGTTATTTTGCCTATAACTAGGTAAGCATGTTATTGTACATCTTATCAGCTTTTCGTTCTGGATGTGTCAGGCTTGAAGAACTTGTAGTGTTGGACATCAAGTTTCTTTATCGTTGTGAAAACCCTACAGTAGTGGTTCTTTACCAGGTATACTCCTTTTTCACTTTTGCACAAGAATGTATTATGTCCTATATTCACAGTGGACTCCATCCAGTTGACTCCTAGTATGCAAACATATAACTATGTTACTTTATGCTCTTGTTAAAGTAGTTGTACACAGTATGTTTTGTTGATTGATCCCTATCTTTACCACATGAAAATTTTCGACTGCTGTAAAGTAATGGTTTCTATGTAACATAAAAAACACATGCCTTCAGTTTTTCTAATGCTACGTCTCCCTTTTTGATTTTCTTGATTTGCATTTTGTTGTTGTAATTCAGCCATGATAGTCATCAAATGATTCTTATTTCCATATTACACTGCAGGACAACAAAGATGCCAGACATGTTAAGACATACGAAATTGAGTTGGAGGACAAAAAGTCGAAGGTTCTTGGTCTCAGAACAATTTAGACCACAGTGCTCGTCTGTTAATACCTGTACCACTGGGTGGTGTCATAATAGTTGGTGAGGACACAATAGTTTACTGCAGTTCCGAAACTACTAAATCTCTATCAATAAAGCAAGTAAGACTCTGGCAGTAGTGCTCTTCTGTTTTGGCATGAACTATTATTTGTGTATAACATTTTCATTCTGGTAACGGTTTATAATTGCTACATCATTTCTTGTGCAGTCCATCATTAGAGCTGTTGGGCGGGTTGACCAGTGCGGTTCTCGCTATTTATATGGAGACAACACTGGTGCTCTGCATTTGCTTACAATTACCCATGAATCGGGAAGGTATCCATCTATTGCATTTAAACTGGCTTCTAGACTCCAGTACTAAATTAATCGCCTCTTAAATTTCCTTTGTCTATGCTATGGTGGCATCTAGAGTGACTGGTTTAAAAAGTCACTTCATTGGGGAGACGTCAATTGCCTCAACAATATCATATGTTGGCAGTGGTTTCTTTTATGTTGGTTCACAATTTGGGGACTCACAGGTAGGTGACATCAGCTTGAATTGCAGTTGTTATTTACTCTTCCTAGTGTATTACTCTTATAGATCTGACATTGTGTCATAGTGGGTGTCATTCATGATTTGCTGTACTGTTACCTCTAAATAAACTCCCAAAACATGTGCATGTGCCCATACACGCGGGGACAGACAGACTGTATGACTGCATCTTCATGTTTGACTTTGCTGTTCCAACCATGTGAATATTCTGGAGTTTTTTCCATTCCAACCTTTATTTCTAGTGGCATTATAAGTTTGTGCCTAAACAAGCTATTGTTCTTAACAGCTTCTAAAATTGAATACTCAAGCTGATGCTAGAGGTTCATTTGTTGAAATTCTCGAACAATATATAAACACTGGACCAATTGTAGACTTGTGTGTGGTTGATTTTGGAAGGCGAGGACAAGGTCAGGTGATTACTTGTTTGGGTGCACACAAGGATGGTTCAATTCGGATAATTCGTAATGAAATAGTAATTACTGACCAGGTCTGAAATTTTCCTTTTATACTTCATCCATGCTGTCTTGAACTCTGAGATACACTATTGAAATCTTAAGATGTATCTTCATGTGTAACCAGGCTTCATTACAACTCCATGGCATGAAAGGACTATGGTCTTTAAAATGTTCATCGAACGATCCATATGACATATTCTTGGTTGTGACCTTTATAAACGAGACACGCTTCTTGGCAATCAATAAGGAAAACAAATTGGTAGAAACACCTATAGAAGGATTTAATTCAGAAACACAGACTCTGGTCTGCGAAAGTGCCATCCACAATCAGCTTATACAGGTTCTCCCCTTTTTACTCATCTGTATTTTTCTTTGTCTACATTTGGATACTTGCTTTTAGTTTTAGCCATTTCTGTGGTTTTCTTCCCACACTTGTTAAAACATGTAATCTTGATGGTAGGTTACTGCGCAATCTGTCAGATTAGTCAGCTCTACTTCTCGAGATTTACTGGATCAATGGTTTGCACCAACAGGATTTCCAGTCAATGTTGCAGCAGCTAATGCGTGCCAGGTTGGCATCTCTTTGGGTGATATTTCTTGGTACTATCGCGATGATCATTGAGTTGGAAAATACATCCACCTTGCCACTCAAAATGTGGCTCTAAGCTACACATGCATCCTCACATCGGATAATATTTTCCAATTTATACATCTTTGTGATAGTACTCTAATTATTAACATCTCTGTTTTGAAGTCTGCATATTATTGCTAACTATTGTGACGTATGACGTGAGATTGCAAACTGTATATCCAGTATCCACATAACATTACTTTAGTTTCATGTACTTCTATTTTTAAACTAATTCATTCACAATGTTCGCAGAAACTCAGGATACTGATGCCAAACCGATTACCGTAGGGAAACAAGCCGGTTTCAGTATCTAAATTTATATGTGGCTCAGCGAGCATGATAGTCAGTCACAAGCTGGGTGGAAGCTGATCAGAACGTATTTAAAAAAAAGTTATTTCTTTATACTAAGTTAATTTACGAAATGTTATGTCTATCACTGCAACGACAGTTATGAAGTACTCCATTCGTTCACAAATACAAGATGTTCTAACGTTCTTGTTAATTGGATGTATATAGACATGTTTTAGTGTGTTTGTTCGCTCATTTCAGTCACTATGTAGTTTATATTGAAATATCCAAAACATCTTATGTCTATGACTTCCCAATTAAAATAGGACTGCACCAGGGGTCAGCTTTGAGCCCTTATCTTTTTTGCTTTGGTGATGGATGAGGTCACAAGGGATATACAAGGAGATATCCCATGGTGTATGCTCTTTGCTGATGATGTGGTGCTAGTCAATGATAGTCGGACGAGGGTCAATAGGAAGTTAGAGCTTTGGAGACAAACCTTGGAATCGAAAAGTTTTAGACTTATAGTAGAACTACACCGAGTACATGAGGTGCAGTTTCAGTACTGCTAGGCACGAGGAGGAGGAGGTTAGCCTTGATGGGCAGGTGGTGCCTTAGAAGGACACCTTTCGATATTTGGAGTCAATGCTGCAGAAGGATGGGGATATCGATGAAGATGTGAACCATCGAATCAAAGCCGGATGGATGAAGTGGCGCCAAGCTTCTAGCATTCTGTATGATAAGAGAGTGCCACAAAAGCTAAAAGGCAAGTTTTATAGGACGGCGGTTCGACCCGCAATGTTGTATGGCGCTGAGTGTTTGCCGACTAAAAGGCGACATGTGCAATAGTTAGGTGCGGCGGAAATGTGCATGTTGAGATAGATGTGTGGCCACACAAGGAAGGACCGAGTCCGGAATGATGATATACGAGATAGAGTTGGGGTAGCACCAATTGAAGAGAAGCTGGTCCAACATCCTCTGAGATGGTTTGGGCATATTCAGTACAGGCCTCCAGAAGCTTCAGTTTTTTTAGAAAAGGATCCAGAAGCTTCAGTGCATAGCGGACGGCTAAAGCGTGCTGATAATGTCAAAAGAGGCCGGGGTAGACCGAACTTGACATGGGAGGAGTCCGTAAAGAGAGATCTGAAGGACTGGAGTATTACCAAAGAACTAGCCATGGACAGGGGTGCGTGGAAGCTGCTATCCATGTGCCAGAACCATGAGTTGGTCGGGTGTTATGGCGCTGCTAGAAGGAGGGTGCGAGAGGGCTGGCTGGGGGCCTTTTGCCCACGGCCGGGCAAGAGGGAAGGGATTTCCTTCTTAATTCTTGCTTGATTAGATTGATACATCTCCTCTCTTTATATAGAGAGGTTTACTTGACTCCCAAGCAAGGCTTACTTGACCCCTAAGCAAGCGACCCTTATCTCTAATTAACCCTAAGACTAATGGGCCCATTAGGCCCATTACGTACTCTAACACTACACCCCACCTGGACATGCAGCTTGTCCTCGAGCTGCAGCCTAACCAACTTATAACCATGACTCGACGCATCACAAACCTAACACCTAAAAACAAGCCTTTTACATCTCGACTTGTTTTATTATTCTCAACCTGAAATGGACTGGGACGTTTTATTTTGGACCCGTTAACAAAAAGTGGACACCATACGTCGGACGTGCACGTGTACAGCCACCTGGATCCCATGGACACCACCTGGACAAAAGGAGTGCATGTGTATGACCACCTGGAAGTGGTCGCAAGAGTGACCAGCAGAGGCGTCGTCGCGGCGGCCGGTGGCGGAATGCAGTGGTGCTACGCAGTGCGCTGCTATCGGTGACACCATGCCTTCTCCCTGCCGGACGACTGTTGGTTTGCACCGCACAGGAAAGAGTGGAGGGCTTACGATGGAGAATGACGAGGAGGGGTGCACCCCCCCAACCGCCTATGTCGCAGACTTTGAGGTCGCTGCCCGCGGGGAAAACAGCATGCCCGCCGCCCGTGGGGGAAACCGCATGCCCAAGATCCCCGACGCAGCGGATGAGATCGAGGTCCTTTGCGCAGCGATGGGCAACTTGGAGGAGCGGCAGCTGCAGACCACGTATCTCCCGCATACGCAGCCTGCAGCCTCACCGCCGCCGGCACATGGCGGGTAGCGATCCAAGACGGAAACGGTGACGGCGACTGGACTTGGTGAAGCGGGACTCCCGCCGGTGCGGTCGATGCGGGACCGGAGCTGACCGACGGTGGCTGCTGTAGCTGCAGCGGCTGCTGCGGCGGAGCGCCGGGCGCGGCGGCTGCCACTGTAGCCAGGGCTGGGCGGTGGTGGCGATGGATGGCAGCTGCAGCGGCTGCCGCAGTGGCCCGGCGAGCGCGGCGAAGGCCGCCTGGTGCGGCGGCTGCCACGGCAGCCACAGCGGCGGCTAGGAGGGTGCGAGAGGGCCGGCCGGGGGCCTTTTGCCCACGGCCGGGCAAGAGGGAAGGGATTTCCTTCTTAATTCTTACTTGATTAGATTGATACATCTTCTCTCTTTATATAGAGAGGTTTACTTGACTCCCAACAAGGCTTACTTGACCCCTAAGCAAGCGACCCTTATCCCTAATTAACCCTAAGACTAATGGGCCCATTAGGCCCATTACGTACTCTAACATCGGGAGATCTTATGGGTTTCACCTCTAGCCTACCCCAACTTGTTTAGGACTAAACGCTTTGTTGTTGTTATCTTATGTTTGTGAACAGAGGGAGTATATTATAATTGTCATAAATTATTCATTACTTGGTACAGCTTGACATAAATGGTTTTTTGTTGGTTTACCTGGAAGCTCTCCTGATTGAGTTGGCTTATTACAGTAATGACATTCTGATTACTATCAGTTGGGGGATCTACTTCAGATCTAGCAATGCATGGTACATAGCACCTACTTAAAATCTAACAATGCTGATGCACAATCATGTTGCTCCCAAGCCTAGGGTGCTACACATGCCCTTGCTCGAAAAATGCTGCAGCTAGTCGTGAAAAAATCGTCGCACTTTGTTCCACTTCTGAAATGTGCGTGTGAGTTCAGGCGCAGGGGGCAGGCATTGGTGTATGTGGGTGGGTGGATGACTGGGTTTTGCATGGCTAGGATTGTAGTACGTGCTACAATGTCAGAATAAAGTAGAAGTTCCTGAATGAAATAAGACTTGTGTTATCTACAAACTCAGACGTTTCAGATGATATGCATGTCCTCAACATTTTAATTGCTTATACCTTGGTATTGTAGCAGTTTTTGATACACATTGTTGCCATCTTGCAGGTTTTGTTGGCAACTGGTGGTTTCCATCTCATCTACCTAGAAATTACCAACTCTAAGTTGGTGGAAGTGAAGCATGTAGAGCTTGAGCATGCGATTTCTTGTCTTGACATAAACCCAATCGGTGAGAATCTACAATATAGCTCCCTTGCAGCTGTTGGGATGTGGACAGATACAAGTGTGAGGATATTTTCACTCCCTGGCATTGAACTAATTAGGAAGGAGAATTTGGGTGAAGTTGTTCATCGTTCTGTTCTGCTGTGTACTATTGAAGAGGTATGCTCTTCATGTTGCTTTTCCGTGAAAGAGAATTGGACCACCGACAGTAATATCTTCCTTGGTCTTCTTTTCAGGTGTCGTACTTGTTCTGTGCTCTTGGAGATGGTCACCTCTTTAGTTTTGTGTTGAACATAAGTACATGTGAACTATCAGATAGAAGCAGGGTCTCCTTGGGGACACAACCAATCAGCCTCTGTAAATTCTTATCTCATGATAAAACTCATGTGTTGGCTGCATCAGATAGGCCAACTATCATATGCAGCAGTGACAAGAAGTTACTCTATAGTTATGTCAACTTGAAAGAAATGAACCACGTGTGCCCTTTTAATACAGTTATTTTTCCAGAAAGGTCCCTCCCTCCCTCATGTTGTGCACGTGTGTACCTATTGTTTTTATCTCTTTGGATAAAATAGTTCCTTGGATTTGCATTAAGCTATTTCTTGTTGTCACAGCATTGCGATAGCTAAAGAAGCTGAACTTTCAATTGGTGCAATTAACTACTCCAGAAAGCGTCATATCCACACAATCCCCTTGAATGAGCATGCACGCCGCATCTGTCACCAGGAACAATCTCAAACACTTGCACTCTGCAGTTTCAAGAACAAGTACATGCATGGAGTGAGCGAGACACATTTTGTTCGTCTATTAGACCATCAGACTTTTGGGATTTTATCAACACATAGTCTTGATGCTTTTGAATGTGGTTGCTCAATCATCAGTTGTTCATTTTCTGATGATGATAATTTCTACTATTGTGTGGGAACAGCATATGTTTTGCCCATGGAAGATGAACCCACAAAGGTAAGGTTTTATCAGGTTGACGCCTAATGAACATCATGCTCTTTGTAAATTTTGACTGCCTTATCCGGAATTACTGTCTCATGAATTCATCTGATGAAACTAGTAATGGCTTCCTTCTTTGCTTCTTTATTACATATTCTTGTGACAAGCAAGTAACATACTCCCTCCGTCCCATAATATAAGAGTATATTATAGGACGGAGGGAGTACCTATTATTGACTGCATGGAATGAATCATGTCAAACTTCAGCAACGTGGATTACCTTTTCTTCTCTGGTAGAAGTTTTAGGTTCTTATGACTTGTATCTAGTCACTTGTCAAGTCTGTGCAATATGAACCACAGATACTGCGTTTCCTTTTCCTTTGTTTGTAATTCTTGTTACACGGAGGTGCATGTAGTCAACCAATGGTGAGTAGTTTTGCAGAATACAGAAAATTACATTGAGCATTAGAACTGTTTTTTATGCCTATATTGATCCAACATTTTCTCCTGCACTTAACTTCTCTGTTTTGGTACCAATGCAACCTGACATAGGGGCGGATCCTGGTTTTTTTAGTTAAAGAAGGGAAGTTACAACTAATCAAAGCGAAGGAAACCAAAAGAGCTGTCTATTCGCTTAAATCATTCAATGGGAAATTATTGGCTGCTATTAATCAGAAGATCAGATTGTACAAGTGGGTGCAGCGAAATGATATGTCACATGTACTACAATTTGAGTGTGCCCATGATGGCCACGTATTATCTTTGTATACTCAAACACGTGGTGATTTCATCTTGGTTGGAGACTTGATGAGATCATTATCGTTGCTGATATACAAGGTATAGCCACACTTTTCATTTGATACTTGTTTAAGGATCACTGCAATTCCTCTGAATCCTAAAATAAGTTCGCCGACGTTTCTGCATCACACTGGTTACTGCTGTTTTCTTATTGGGCAGCACGAAGAAGGCACGATTGAAGAGGTGGCTAGGGATTTAAACACAAACTGGATTACTGCAGTTGAGATGCTGGATGATGATATTTATATTGGTGCAGACAATTGCTGTAACCTATTTACCGTGTGCAAGTCCCCATATGGGTTCCTTGAGCCCGTTGGGGAGTACCATCTGGGGGACGTGGTGAATAGGTTGCATCACGGTTCTCTGGTTATGCACCACGCAGATTCGGGGACAGGCCAGTTTCCTTCAGTCATCTTTGGCACGGTCAATGGCGCCATCGGTGTGATTGCCTCCCTTCCATATGACCTATATGCGTTCCTAGAGAAGCTGCAGTCCGTCCTTGTGAATTTCGTCAAGGGTGTTGGTAACCTTAGCCATGCAGAATGGCGGTCATTCTGTAACGCCAGGAGGACCAGTTCAGCCCGGAACTTCGTGGATGGTGATCTGATTGAATCTTTCTTCAGTCTGAGCCCAAGCCAGATGGTGGAGGTTGCGTGCGCGATGGGTGTCCCTCCGATTGAGTTGTATAAGAAAGTGCAGGAGTTGATCAATCCACACTAGTAATAAGTACTACTTAATAAGCATAGCAACGTACAGTACTCTAGCTACCTACCGTCATGTGTAGCTCTAGTGAATGAATATTCCTACTATTAACTCGTTGCCAGCGTGGTACAGTAGAATAGATGCATGCTAAAGGTGATATTTCCAGTTCTGGGCCCAACTTCATGGCCGCTCAACTGCTGGTAACCCAATGTTGTAGATGCAGGTAACAGCCTTCAGTCTAATTCCTTCCTTTTTGCTTTATTGTTGGAGAGAAATTTGGTTGTAGCCAAGGAGATTGTACATTTGGTTACACTTCTGAAACAGTCATACTGTTGTAGACCACTCTGTTCGTGTGATGCATCGGCCATCAGGTGAAAACTTATGGGTCCGTTCAGCCTCTGAACCCTGATCTCGTCGCCCCTCTGTTTTTTCCTTTTTGGAAAAGGAGGTTTAAACCCTCGGCTGGCTTCTGCATCAAGCGATGCATGTGGCCATCAAACCACACGAAGCCATCACTCACACCTATAAAACTCAATTATGTGGAGTGCTTTTACTCCTCAAATCTAAACCGGTGTCATCGCCGATCCATCCACGTAACGTATTGGAACGAACAACCAGTACATCAGACCTAAAGTGTACACCACACATGCACACGTTTTAGACGCCGCCGTCATCATCAGACCGCTGACCCATCTTCAGGAGAGAGATCCGCATCATCCTTGTCAGCCCGTCCATCTGTCCATCCGTCGACGCCACCACGGCGCCACCTCCTCGCGCTCGTCCGTCCAAGCGCGAAGATTCTGGAAGATCTGTCGTGCGTAGCACCTGCCGACCAGGCATGACACAGCGTAGCACCTGTCGGTCAGGCATGACTTGACATCTTCACCGAAGCTCCGTGCAAGACGAAGCCGCTCCACCTCCTGCCTCTTGTCTTCTAGCGCTGCTCCACAAACAATGCTCCCAAGAGAGAAACGATGCCGCAGTACCGCCATCGTACGATCTGGAAGACCAGATCCTAAGGTTTCCCCTGGAGCAGCATGAGTGGGTCGGCAGTCGTTGCACGGCGATGCCTTCATCAAGGTAACGACGCATAACGCCGCCATCGCTTGCCATCGGCTCGGTTTTCACCGACAACTTGTCATCCTGACTCGCAGCTAGAAATAGATGGCGGATCTTGAGATCTGACCATCCAGCCTCAGGCCGACCACCTCCGACGAGGAGACCGCCGGCTGCACCGGCCAGATTGGATCTGACCGGAGGCGCCGCCAAGCCGCCCACCCGACAAGATCAATGTGAAGGACACCCGACCACCGGAGGTAGCCGCCGCCACCATCATGGGTGATCCTGCTGCCGGATTGGCCGCCATCTGCGTGCGTGCGCCCGCGCCGCGGCCACCACGCCTCCTCCATGGATCTGGGCAGGATCCCATCCCTGAAGAAGAGGGCTGCAGTGACATGGGCGCACAACCGCTATCATCGCCGTCCTCCCACCACCACCGGGCCTAGCGACGCGGGCCGAGGAGCGCCGGGCCGTCCACCCATCGCTCGAGCCTCCTGCCCGAGGACAAGCCACGCCAGGGTACCAGGGACCCCGCCGCCGCCGGATCTGCACGGGCTTAGCCCGGTCGAGTCCATAGGGCGGCGACGAGGGGGAAGAGAAGGTGTGAGAGGGACCTGGCGGAGTAGATCTCGCCGCCGCCCGAGTTGCCTCTCTGCTATTCAATGAAAGCTTGCTGTGTAGCCTTTTCGTCAAAATTAAAAGAAGAAGAAAACGTTGTGGATGAGCATGCGCTTTCCTGTGAAGCCATGATCATGCACCAAACTAGGTGTGCTTCGGCACACCTGTATTTACATAAGTTTACAATTGACGCAACAGATCTATTTATAGATCAAAACTTTACTAAAAACACATGTTAGAACGCGTCGCGGTTTGCCGGAGAGCTGTCTCACAAACCCTACTCAGATCAGCTCAACACCAACTTCAACAAACCACCACAGAAGGTGCGCACGGAGAACTCCGTGATGTTTACCAGCTCGAGGACCCCTTCCTCTTCTTCCATGATGACGCAACTTCCGTCTCCTCCCTCCTCACTAAGGCCTAGGTCGGCGAGCCGTTCACCGCGCTCCGCCTCATCTAGAACCTCAGCATGCAAGGTCTAGGCAGGGTAAATGGAGGTCTAGGCAGGGTAAGAAAGGGCTTAGGGCATAAATGGAGGTCTAGGTCGGCGAGACTTAGGGCATAAATGGAGGTCTAGGCAGGGTAAGCAAGGAATTGCCTACACAAGTAAGAAATCATGCCACATACTACACTAGTATGCCAAACGGGTTATATTTCAATGGTAGTAGACGGTAATTCACTTCTTTATATGCGCTAAACTAATATCAACACCCATATAATAATCACAAATGCACTACGAGTAAAAACTAAGTTACCACCTAGGTCGCGCCTAGGGCTCTTAGGCACCGCCTAGGCACTAGGCGAAGGCCAACCGCCTTGCTTACGCCTACTGCTTTTTCCAACCTTGTCTAAAACTAGCCCTAAGTCATACAAGGCCCATGGGCCCAAGTGGAGGTGATGCAACACCTTTGGACTTGTAATTTGACTTGGATTCTGCTGTAACATCACATTGTTTTGTCAATATCTCAACACTTCAAGCGAATTTGAAGGTGAATCCAATTGGGTTGGAAAGAGCACAAAATCTGCTTTCCAACAGAAAAAGAATTACCCAATTCGGAGTCCGAATGAAAGAGATCTCGGCATTTTGAGTCAGGTATGTTTGTGCAGTCAGAATCTGAGTCCAGAACATGGGAGACTTGGACTCTATCTTCTCTTGGCCCAAAAGTGATGTGAGAGCACTTTTTTTAACAACACCTAAACTTCTCTTTTTCTCTTATCTTCATATGTGGATTGTACAAATGTCCCATACACCTGCAATTAGGCATGGCACAAAAGTCTGTTAAGTATTTTTGTCCTGGATAACATAAATAAATTATTGCATATACTACAAGAAATACGTCAACTTGCGACCATCACTACTGGTCGCTGAAAGGTCATTGTTTTTCATTTGTGACCTTTTTGTGACCAAAAACAGATGGTCAAAAGCTGGCAGTCGTAAACTGAAATTAACGAAGCAACAACCAAAACAAAAGGTCATGGATTCTACAACCTTCTGTTTTGGTCACTAGCTGTCTGCCCAGGCCACGTCGGATCCGACGTGGCAAAATTACGACCAATTGAAAAGGTCGTTGATAAGATTCAGCCGGGTCCAATTCGGTGTTTTAGATGGGCCGAGTCCAGTAATTCGGCCTTTTATGTTTTTTTGGACTGATTTTTTCTGCTATATGGCTGGGCCTTTTCTATCCGGGCTCGGCCTTTTTTCCAGTCATTTTTTCAACATAATACCATTTGGGGCAAGGCCTTTTTGCAACCCAGGAATTAATTTGTCCAACATTGTTCGGGCCAAGGCCTCTTCCAGCCCATCAATATTTTCAGCCTAGTAATGCAAAAGGACTAGATGACGGAGAAACAAATGATTTTTTTTCAAGTTTGCTGTCAAAGCAACGTTTGTTCCATCATACAACATTTGTTGTGATTACATTTTCATCACATTACAGACATAAGAAGCAGCAACTAAAAGATTCTCATCTATAACAAACGACAGCCATGTTCAAATAACCTTGGCAATAAAAAAACAGCATCACAACTAATATACAGTACAACTTCCGCTTATGTGCAGACCTACAGGAAGGCCAAACAAAAAAAAATCATTGAAAATATGATCACTAGCTTAGATATTTAGAGATAACTGCTATGCTGCCGATTAGATTTGGTTGCAACCCTTCCAATTTGGTAGGGGAATCTCTCTAGCATCATCTCTCATAACCTAAAAGAAGGAACATAAACCATCATCAGAATTTGCAACTTTTTGTCCTGCCAAAATATTAGTACTTGTTTAAAACAAAGGATTGATGGCAAAAATTATTTCTGTAGGTGTTTGTTGGATACTGATGGTAGTTTGAGTTGGTAGGCTGAATAGTTCAGTGTGTTAAACAACCAGGTGCATTTTTCTCTACAGCTGAACCAGGTATATAGTTCAAAGTCTGTTAAGCATGTGACACAAAACATTTTTTGTATTTCAGCATGATAGACCATAAACATAACTTGCTAATTGCAGGTTAAAACTAAAATGTTCGGAGTGAGCCAAATAATGCATAGGTAATTATGATGGAGAAACCACACTTTTATAAAATGTTTAAATACTCTAAAATAAATAAAACAATAGCAAATACAATTATTTAATGCTTTAGAAATGATGAACATTTTCCAAACTAAATTGTTATAAGTATTAAACTATTGTGGCAGTGGCATAATTTGTAAAATCTAATTAGGTGCCAATTTGATAATTTACTAAAACTAAAATAAAAGGAAACTAAAAGAAAGCAAAAATAACAAATAAAAGTAAGAAAAGATAAAGGCAAAACATCAAAGGGTTAAAAACAGAAAAACAGAACCCCCCTCCCCCAGTGGGCTTCGTGGCCCAACTGGCCATTCAGCCCGTCATGCCGGCCCACTCCCCGCACACCGCCTGGCCTATAGGCCACGCCCCGAAACCCTAACCGCACTACCCCCACTCACCCCCTCCCACATCGCCCACTCCTCCCCCCGATCTGGATCGAGATCGGGGGCTCGACGCCGCCGCCGCCCGGTGCTGTCCCGCCTCACGCCGGCGCCTCGCCGCCACACGTCGCTCACCGCCGTCCTCCACCTCCTCCCCGTTCCTGGACCGGGAAGTGCCCCCGATGCCGTGCGCCG